ATCGGTCATCAATTGATGCATACATAGAAAGAATATCCGGTAGAAGGAATTGGAAAAAAATCACTGTACACATTTCATTTACCTTTCCCCGAACGTTCTCAAAGGAAGGAGGACTGACCAAGGAGAAACAAATCAAGAAAACATCCGTCTGAGGATATGAAAGAGGACGCAAACGATCGTAATCTTCTTGACCAGCAGTGTCCCAAAGACCAAGATTGATTGGTTTTCCGTCAACCATCACGTTTGCAGAATAATTGTCGAAACTGGATGAGGAGCATCATCGACTGTCAATATCAACTAAAACATGAAAATTTGTAAATTAAAGAGAAAGAAGAAGAAACGCTTACACTGTTGGAATGTATTCACCGGGAAAGGCATTGGTGGTGTAACTGATTAGAAGGCAAGTCTTACCAACGGCACTATATGATGACGGTCAATTATGGTCAGTTTTTTTTTTTTTAGAAAAAAAATTTCTCATAAATGCGCATCGATCGCGATCAAACACAGTCGCATGCAGCCAGGAGATTTTTTTGTTTTTTTTTTTATTTTATTTCAAATCCCAAAGTGCATAACTTTGAACTCGGAAAAGTAAAAGAAAAAAAGCACAACACCGTTCTTCCTTCGAAATTGTCAACTAGACCGGTAACCGATCCATTTGACTGTGTTGTCGCTGAAAGATGATGAGTACAAGGAAACCACTTCATATGCTAAGAACCTCTTTTACCTACCCATCACCAACCACAACACATTTGATGGCTTGCATCGTTCCAGACAAATGTTGGTTGCGACAGATCTAAGCTTTCGACGAAAGAAAATAAAATCAAAAAGGTAAGATAATCTTTTTCGTAGACAAAGGAGGGGGGAAAGGAATGAGGTGACTTCTTTCGACTAAGATGGACGAAAAAGTTTTTAAGGAACAAGGATGGTCGGTTTTAAAAAGAGGTCTGCAGTGCTACAATTGTAATTTGTATTGTACCAGTCAGAAATGCTAATTCCTGGATAGATCGTTCTGCAATTTGTGCACTATTTGTGGTAATGCTGAAAATCTTGTTGAAAAGAACGAGCGATGATTGGCCGGCGGGACTCGTGGCACATGAAATAGGTAACTCACATTATTAACGACTTTGAATTGTTTTTCGGATTCCGATCGAAATTTAAGCTACGTAAACGTTAGAAGATGTTTGATAGGTTCCTTTAATGTTGCATGTGAAACTCGTGGAAGGAAAAATGAAACAACTCAACGGGGAATTATTCCATTGAACTGATAATGTAAATATTTGTTTCAAAGACACATACGACCACGCGTTTGTGAAGTAAAACCCAAAACTTTAGAACAAATAACAATATCTCGAACGTTTATCTTTGTATCACTTTGAATTGTCGAGCACCTCTGTTGGTCGGAGTTCATGTTCTCCGAAAATCGACAAAATCGCGTAACCCCATATGTCAAGCATGACATCTCCTTTTATGAAATAAACCATTGGCCACGCTGAACCTCGTGCTGAGATCAGATAGCAAAGAAGATTTCGTACTTACGCACGTATCTACCAAACTTTTCTGTGTAAATCGAGTATTACTGTATTATTGGGACTGCCAAAAAAGAGATCATTATTTGTGTGGACTCGGAAAATTTTGTAATGCCCTTCGTCGGTTGAAATGTGTACAGTGATTTTTTTCCAATTCCTTCTACCGGATATTCTTTCTATGTATGCATCAATTGATGACCGAT